CAGCTAAGACTAGAAATACGCTCATCAGCTGGTTCACGAATTCAAAAAATTTTCTAGTAGCATGAAGGTTTGGTATATGCAGACAGTGATTATTAAAAGTGTGAAATCGGAAGGTTATTGAGTCACCTGATTTTCGAATTGCAGGTTCAATGCAAATGGTGGCTTTCACCAATCAATTACTTCGTATAGTGATCACAAAAATCCTGCAAATCTACCTGAACAGAAGTCTCAAACTCTACAAAATCTTACAATACCACATGACTTAAATGACAAGGCCAATTTAACCCCACAAAGAGGGTAGTTTCGCCTTAGTCGTCTTACGGTAAATTTTTCACTTCAATGTATAGACCAACCACTAATAATAATTACAATGTAGTAGTAGTAGATTCGGAAGTGAAACATTTCAATCGGCGCATGGATGTAATATTTACCCAACCGAATTTAATTTTGTAATTCTGGGGTGTGCATTAGGCTTACCTCCACGTGGTGCACCTGGGCAACGTTTACTCATACGACAAAAAATCTATAAACTGGCAGTTGACTTCTGGCTTCAAACTTCCATCACCCCACTGTATGTCATATTCGGCTACTAACACAGTACTCACCTCATCTTTTTTCTTCCTTTGTGTCTGCCTCTTTTACATCTTTAAAACACTATATCAAATTGCAGGCGCTTTAATGGTCATCATTTGCCCTTTGGTTGACATCAGGCTTCACAGAGGGGAAAGAACATCAAATTGAAAAAGTCGAGACCGATGAGGGGGGCAGAAAAGTGCTTTAAAATGTAAAAGAGACAGACACGAAGGTAGAAAAAGGTGAGGTGATTCCTGTGGAAGTAGTGGAATGTAATTTGGAGTGGGGTTAACTGCCGGTTAATAGACTTTTTTACCGTATGAGAATACGTTGCTTAGGGTGCACCACATGGAGGTAAGTCTTTCGCGCCCCCCCCCCCCCCCCCNGGGGGTAAGTCTTTCGCCCCCCCCCCCCCCCGCCATTTGATATAAATAAATGAATAAATTCTGTAATTCTACCTTTGTGTCTGACTGTCTTCTTTACGTCCGTGAATCATTATTCTGTCTCCCTCTCGACTTTTTAGTTACTTTGATGTGCCTTTTCCTATCTGTTAAGCCTAAAGTCAACTAAAGGGCTAATGATACCTATCATAACGCCTGCCATTTGAAATAAATATACATTGAAGGAGAAAAAAGAATGAGGAAACAAAATAAGCACGTGAATTAAATTTTCCGGCAGAAGCATGCTACACTGAACTAGATCATTGTCGAACTCCCACTCCTCAAAATCAAGGGTTTGTAAAGAGGAAATTTAACCCATTGTTCCCGATCGCGCGGTCAGTTATATGTATAGGTAATTATTAGAGGAAAAAATATTTATAATATAAATATTTGTATGATGAGCAAATCAGCACAAAAGTAACTCGTCTTCTAGTTGAATTCGGCTCAAGCCAGGTCAGAATGAAGAGAAGAATAGCTCATCTGGAGAACCAACATTTCGAAACATCACCAACAGCATAAGAACCGAGAGCACATCACACTCTAATATATAACTACTGAATTGTGTTTAAGTAGAACACGCATTAACAATCATCACGTCGTATCAAAGTCCTTTATTGTACATTAATAACAATTTCCAGCAAGCATTTGTTTTTTCCTATGGCTCCCTGGCGAGTCTATTGTGGATGTGTTCACAGAGTTTGTGGATCGGTAGACCGACAATGTTGAAGTAGTCACCTTTGATTCCACTGACTAGACTACAACCGATGCCTTGGATCCCGTAGCTACCTGCCTTGTCACTACAAAAAAGGAAGAAAATATGACAATAAAAGAACACAAAAATATCATTAGAAAAATCAGAAATCCTACAAACAACTAAGTATTTCTTGCTCGAGACTTGATTAAAAGTTAAACCACTTTTCCTCATCTTGCCAGTCCCCTGATATAAGAAAACCTTTATTACCTCTAGCGCGTTACTGGGGCTTTAGAAATGAGCGAAAGGGGTGTTGGTTATAAGTGGAGTTCTGGACTTACTCGTGAAACATTTTTTATTTCAACTAGGGAATAATCCAGTTTAAAAGCCACTTTAAGGTACCCGACCAAGTTAGGCTAAGATATTTTCCTCTACAAGACTATTCATCTAACGCACTATCCCCTACCTACTTTGTACCAAGCCCAACAAAGAACTCCAACACAAGACAAGTAATCTCCTCTCCAGAACACATCTCTCACATCTTAAACCCCCTTCCATCTGAAAATCATTTACTTTTAATCACATTGGAAATTCTTTACGCCTTGAGATCTATTACGAAAGAACCCTACGACAATAAAAAACCCCAGGTTGTCAATCGAAATGCACTACCTCTCTTTCTACTTTCGCCTAACTATTTAAAACTCCCTCTATCATACACAACACCCCCCAATCCCTGTGAACTTGGACACAAACTTAGCAACTCCGCCTCTTAAGGCTACCCTCTATCTCTCCATAAACACTCGGTTTCCATTGTCCAGATACCATGTCCTGATTGCTTCTAAAATCTTCCTCAAGGCCACTGTGCGACAACAGCCCTTCCCAGGTAAGAAGACAAAGAGCCCAGTGGTGTGCAAACGATGTATCGAACTACTCTAAGATGCGGGAGCAAAATATGGAGATAAATTACAAATTGTAGAGTAAGGTGAGCAGCACATAGTAAGTGAAAATGACGCTATGTGAAACAGACCCAATTAATGCACACATCGCCAAGTTCTTTGTTTTACGGCCTTCGTCAGTCATGCAAGATACCAACGAATAGTCAGCATGTGGAATGATAAAAAACTGATTTAGCACTTTAGCATCTTTTACAAATTTGACAATCAACTAACCGAATGACTTTCTCATTAATGTTCACTTTTAAATGACCATGGAAGGAAGGCAATGCTTCACAAAAATAAACAAAACGTCGGAAAAGCCAAGAGCAAAGGGGCAAATAAAACGCAAGAGTAATTCAATTTACGCAGTTCCCTTTTGACAAAGAGTAATACGACCTCAGCAATTGTAGCTTTATGTTCTGACATGGAATCAAATTAAAGAGAAAGCGCAATAGATTATATAAAGGCCAAGGTCTTCAAGTTTATAAGCAACAAATTTAATATTTCACATAAAAATCATTAATGGTAAAAGAAATTACGACTTACAGAGGTTCGCCAGTTTTCACATATCCTTCCACAACTTCTTTATTCATCTTCGCCATTTTGACCTCGGTGCACTCACTGAAACAACAGAATTCAGGCTCATTCCCCATCCACACAACACAGACTCCAGTGTAAACGGAGTGAAATTTGCCCGACAACCTATAACACCAAATCAAATGAAGAAAAGGGCATGAACTACGCAGTGAGAGTCCTGATAGCATCTTCAGCGTCAGCAGGCTTGCCCAATATCTGGTCTTCGAAAGCAACTACTGTATCAGCCGCAATGATGATATCAGCCGACTAACTGCGTAACAAGAAGATTCGAATTTTACCTGTGTAAGTCTTCTAATCGCATATTCCGCTTTTAATTTCGCTAGCGCTTCAACAAAGAGGCTAATCGAAGGGAATTCCACAGGATTCAGATCTTCAGGTGCATTGGAATCTAACGTGGTAAATTTCAATCCCTAAGGAGAAGCCTTATTGTTGGTCAAGATTGAGATAACTAACACATGTAGACAGAATTTCTTTTCGACGAGGAGATGTGCTGGCCAAAACGATGGAATATTTGGCCAATTTGTTCTGTAAAGCCGTTAGCATTCTGATATGATTAAAAAATGATAAAACCATATAGCACATTTTCAGAATACACAAAAATCATTATTACATACACATATATACAGATTTTAACAACATTCTACTGTAACTTCCATCACAGATTAACGCTGGGAAATGTAACATCTAATCAAAAATAAAACTACAATTTATGATCCTCTGTGCAGCCTAGCTCATGATAAATGTATTCACCTATATAACAAAGAAATTAAAATTTTAACTTTCTTGATAAAATAGTAACAGAAACTTTGTAGACAAAAATTCTTACTAAAAAGCACGCATTTAACAAACAAAGTGAATCGTACATCGATTTGCCACGCACCTGAAACCTCACAAAGGCAAAAATATCGAGTAAAAGACATATTGGTTTCAAGATCAACAGACCCGACTCTAATATTCTCTTTAATTTTGAGAATTTCCAAATTATTTTATTTTTATAAACAAGATAAATTGCTGATATGTTTTTAAGCATCATAAAATATTCACAAGATTATTTATTGCCCTTAAATACAGTTCCTGAATTTGGTAGAATATGGTAAGTGGGCAAATATGAATTATATATTATTTGTAATTTTTCATGACGGTCAGTGCTCTGTCTATGTGATTTTGGTATTTGACTGTCAAAACACAGACATGTTTTGGTAGATCGAGATCTTAGGTTTTGTCCATTCAGAATGGAATGTAATAGGTCATAGGAGAGCACCATGCCCTTATTGAAAGACGCATTTTTTCTACTGAAAGTAAAAATCAATCACTATATAAGCTTAAATAAACTGGCGTAATTATAGAGTGACTTTTGTTAACATAAAAAAACAGAAAATATAATTTTTATTTGCTGAGGAAATATCGAGAGCGGTTCGACGAATAATAATTTCTTTAAATAATATGTAAGGAGATTTTAAATAAAAATTTAAAGTTATTTGAATCGATGGGCAATGATAAATGGGCACTATTAAAGCAAATTCATTTGCGCGAAGGGTAATGGTGAAGGAGAAGTAACAACTGGGTAACCAGATTTTCCCTTTCATTTTCATTGAGTTCCGTTTTCGATCTCCCATAAAATTTTCATCGACACGCCAGAAAAAAGTAGACTGTTTCAAATACTTCGGTTTCTAGCTTTATATTCATAAAATTCAAACAATTATCTACCATCTCCATACGAAATTCAGGATTCTCTTTTATTCTGTAATCCAGGTTATATTTAAAGTAAATCTGCACCCATTTCCTAACTTACGTGTTTCCGTTCGTATACATGCATGCTGGTCAGATAATAGCACTTATATCTTATATCGTACTCTCATTATATAATATTTCTAAAACTTTTTGTTTACTGTTTTTAAGTTTTCTATGGAATCTCGGTTGCTACAGTCTGACTTCTAAAGATGGAGTTTCGTACCACTCACATACCAATTATTTAGGTATTCTGTTTGATTGTGGTCGAAAAGTCTCTTAGCAGTGTGCTTGTCACCATTTTAGTGATAGGGATTAGATTCATTCAATCGATGAAAACCTTCGCTTTTAGACAATGATAATAGAAGGTCCTTAAAGAATACAAAATGCTGACAAATTAATTACAGTACCCACAGCCGATTCTCTAATAGTTCCTGTGTGTATTTATTAACATTCGTTTCAGCAAAAACAGACCACATGTTTAAATCGACAATTTTTTGTTGTTCCTGCTAATACTCAAATTAATTGCCTGGGTGCTGTTAGCATTTTTCATAAAGAGTAAGGACTAACGTTTCATTGAGATTGGCGGATCAGAGGCAAATCAATTGGCTTAATTGGTTGCCATCACCAAATATGGCCAATAAGAAATTGAGGGTAAGAATAGTACCTGTTAACCCTCCGATTTGAATGGGAAGATCGATAATCACTAAATTAGTTAAGTGGTAATTGATACGATGAAGACGAGAGTGCAAAAGAATGAGAAATCAAAGTGAATTTCGATCTCGACTTGGCTGAAGCAAAGTTGGCTTGTAATGGTGTTGACGAAGTTATTATTGAAGTGAATGACGTGAACTGACCCATCCTTTGAGCATTTGCGAGTTCTCCCCCTCCCTTCGGTGTGTACAACTGAAAAGTGATTATATTTCAAATTACACCAAATCATGATTGCTTCATTCTTCCATAGATTGAATATTACTGTTCTACTAAAACACCTTCTATTAACGGGCATGCTTTGTGTAATGAATTCTGTTTTTAAACAACACCTTAAAAATGTTAATGAAACGGCGCCTAAGTACCATCAGTAACGAATGCTATTAATCAAGTTGGTCATAATAATCAATTAAGCAGTTTCATTTCTTTTTACCTTAAATAATTAAAATTTAACAAGTTGCATGATAAATAGAAATTTCATCTCATACTTAGTTATCCAGTTATCATCAATAAAAGTTAAACATTAAACGGAAAATACAAAACAAATTGAAAAGATATTAAGTAAAGTGAAGTGTGCAGGAATGTTTCGATTTTAAATTGTAATGTGAATAATTCAGTTGGGAGTTAATGGCAAATGTTAAGTGAGTTCAAATTCTGTGTCATCTGACTCAACGTTGCGTTTGTCTTTAAACCCAAGTATGACCAGAGAAATGTACATCGCGACATCAGAAATACTGATTATAACTGCAGCTGTAAGGACAATTGTAGCATTGTAAGCTCCTATCCAATATAGGATTGCTTTGAATAAAATCTCATAAAGAACTGCATTAAGCAACTATATCGAGGGAAAATTAAAAGTGGTCTATTTTGACGTACAACGTATAGCCAGATAAGCCCTCTAGTCTTGGTTAATGTAAGCAGAAGAGGGGCTACGGTAGTGTTAAGCAGCCCGTAAACAATAATCCACAATGTCGCCCCCGTAAGGCCTTCCTTTTCCATCTTTATTAAACCATATACAAATAAGACAAGGCAACATACCTAAAAGGAGAGTTGTATTATTAAAAGTAGAAATTTGGGGACATACACACGATATGCATCCAAAGACGTAAGAATTGACTTTTACAAAAATTCTGTTACATCCATGACTCAAGTCGTCGCTATTTGAATGCAGATCTTGACCTATACTAAACCATGCTTTCTTTTATATGCGAAAATTTGATAGGTGTGGATGACCTCGAAAAAAATTTTCAAAATATTCCGATGGTACATTTAGTGAAGAAATGAGAGAAATTGAAGATAAACCTCATCATCATCTACCAGAGGGTTTAATGCGTAGTGCAGACGCTGGGCATCTGCCATTTGTGTCATGACAACAACTCCAGGATTGGTGGGGTCTTTGATGATAACATTGCATTGGACCAAATAATCAATTGTTACTTTTTATTAAAATGTGCCACCCACCCATCTCTTTCGTTTCCACGGCCGTGCAATACAATAGGCATTTGAGGGTGCCTAGAGCTACTTTCGCATATGCCGCATATTTGTTGCCCAATGGATGATATTAATGTCACAATGAAGCTGGTTCTCTCTCTCTCTCTACGATTGATGCTTGAACTCTGTCTCTGTCTGCTACTAAACTGCTGCCTCTATTACTACATCATTCGTATTCAGGTCCACGCATGGCTTCACTCCACCCATGATGTTTAGCTCAAGACACTCTCCCACGTTTCATTCGAAAGCCCTCTCATCCAGTCTTCAACACTCTCTGTGCATGGAAATCTCACCTCCAATTGTCACATACTGCGACCCTATTTGCCTCACCTCCTACAACACTGAGATCAGCTGGTATGGGTGTCGTGCCAACACATCACTCCACTATTACTTCAATCAAATTCTCCATGTGTCACAGAAAACTGGTTATGTGACCAGTAGAGAGTTTATGTGGCACACACATTTTGCTGCACTCCTCACATGGTTGATTGTGAACGGGATATTTCATTGTATCATGATTTTGCCCTTATTTATTGGATTATAGATAGGAAACAAAATCTGTCTACACGCTGTAAGCCAAGTCAACCCAGATATATGTTTACTTTCCTTCAAAATCGGTGGCAGATACGGCTCTTATTGCAGGCTTCCTCACTTCCATACTTCATGCTTCTGACTTCCTCAAGTCAACAGGTGGCATTGTAGTTGCAGTTGTTACCTTTGCTGCTGAAATGGCTCTAAGTATCTCCCTAGGCCAATATCAGATCATAATTAAAGAACAGAAATGAGGATTGTGGTCAACTTTTCCCCTTATTGAATTATTCACAATGGATATTTAAAATGAGATAAACCACTACACGTTCTTCCATTTAAAATAAATCAAGTACCATTCTCATTCTTTTTGATGCGTGTAATACAATTTTTGATTCCAAAATGTAACATGAATGGAGCATTAAAAAAAAATAATAATAGTTAGCTCAAATGCTCTGAATCACATGCTATGGCTAGCTAGGTCAAATTAACCCGACAGTGTGTAGTTCCACGTTTTCGACTATGGTAAATATTTCACTCTACTATAGAGTCTAACCACCAATAACAACTAATACGCAGAGATTCAGATAAAGAGGGATTTGAAAGTCAAGGATCTCAACCGACACATAGATTTAATGAATACCCAATTAGTCTTTACTGTCGTATTTCACTTAAAAGGGAAATCGGGTGAATTGTATCATTTTGTGAATATCTTCGACATCCGTGTAGGCCAGTACACAGAGGAATCCCTCCATCCTTAAGTAATGCTTAGACTCCATACAAGTTGGGTTCAGTCAATACCATTAGCATAAAT